ATACTTCATTCGTGTTTCTGTAGTTTGCCTTTTATATATATATATATATATATATATATATATATATCAATCATGGCAAATTAGGGAACTTGAATACATGGCAAGTTAGGGGATTTCGAGTATAGGGTTTGGCGAGCTATTCTACTAACTAAGTTACTGAATAATACTAAATTGAGTACGAATAAATCATGACTTGACTTGTTAATAATCATGTGTGTCGTGTGAATCTAATCAGGCTTGTTTGAATTTTTAACTAAATTTATCGTAATTTTTATTCTTAATAATGTTCAAAGTTTGAGCTCGAACTCGAACACAAGTTTGAATTTGAACTCGAACATAAGCAAAGCACAAATATCCCAAGTAATTTTTATTTTATTTTTTATTATTTTTTTATTATTTTTTATTTTTTAAGATTAAACATTGTTTGATTTAAGATTGAGTTTGATAGACCAAGTTCGAGCTCGAGCAGGAAAATGTTTACCTATGGGCCATTTGTAGTCCTACTTCTCTGTTACCCATATTATTATTATTATTATTATTATTATTTCTTTTCTCTTCTTGTCTCAAATTTTTCTTTTTTTCTTCAATTTTCAAGTATGTTTCTCACTTACCACAAGGGTGGAATGGGAAAAGAGTGATAGTGATTAAAAATTGAGAAAAAAAATCTTTTATTTTAATAAGGGCAAAGTACAGAAAACCCCCCTCGACTTATAGCCTTTTCCAGTAAACTCCCCTAATCTAATTTTTTATTAAAGAATCCTCTCTCTACTTGTAACCCTTTTTATTAAATCTCCCTTGTCTAAATTTATATATATATATAAATTTTTTTATTATTTTTTATTATCAAATAACCCCCATCAACCATCTAAGGGGGTAAAAGAGTTGATATTTGGACCAAAATGCCCTTTTATTTAAATTTTAATTTTTTCGAACTTCAAAAATTCATATTTCACAAACCGTACATCCAAATATTGCAAATAATATATACACGAAAAACTTATAAAACAGGGATTCCAGAAATACAAGATTTGTTTAACAAAACTTCATAACCAGAAAGAAATAGACAATTTAAAAACATACTGCAATAATCTTATTTTATTTTATATTTTATAAAATACTCGAGTTATTTGCAAAATTTTTTTTTAGAATTATTCATTTTCATATGGAGCATAACATATAAAAAAAATAGCCCCAATAGTGACCAGATATTCATTTTTATTATTTTTAAATAGTAAATCTATAAAAGAATGAAAATATTTTGACACAAAATATGAAATCTTATGAAATCGATCTCGGTTGGGGCTAATTTTTTTTATATTTGGCTCTATATATAAATGAATAATTTTGAAAATTTTCTTACAAATATCTCGAGTATTAAGATTGTTGGAGTATATTTTTAGACTGCCCATTTCTCTCTGGTTATAAAGGTTTGTTGTACAAATTTTATATTTCTGGAATCCTTATTTTATAAGCTTTCCGTGCATATATTATTTATAATTTTTAAATGTACGATTTGTGAGATATGAAATTTTAAAGTTCAAGAGATTAAAATTTTAAATAAAATGGTATTTTGGTCCAAATGTCAACTCTTTTACCCTCTTCACAAAGTTGAGGGAGATTCTTTGGGAAAAAAATTAGACAAGGGGGATTTATTGGAAAAATGTTACGAGTCGAAGGGGTTTATTTGGTAAAAAAATAGATAAGGGGGTTTACTAGAAAATGTTACAAGTCGAGAGGAGTTTTCTGTACTTTGCCCTTTTAATAATATAGAGAATAAAATTTCATAACATATAGTTTCATTTTATTACTATTAGATTATTAAGGTTTTATGGGTATATTAGGTATTTTTCTTTAATATCTATTTTGGTTTTGTTTTCTTCCCCATACAAAGGTCCTCTTGTAATGAAATTATTAACTCCATGTTGAGAATTATTATAAATTTCGTAGAAATTCATTTTTCCCTGCTTTTCTCTTTTTGTTATTCTTTTCATCCCCTTCGTCTGTTTTTCATTATTTCAATTATCTTTTCATTTCATATCTCGACCTCATCTTGTACTCGTTTTATTTTCATCACATTCTTCTTTCTTTTACATAATTTACTTTAAAATTCCTAATTTTTTTTCATCAAATTACTATCATAATACTGGTTATCTTTTCATCACATTCTTCTTTCTTTTACATAATTTATTTTAAAATTCTAACTTTTTTTCCATCAAATTAGTATAATAATATTTTTAGCAACAATTGATATCAAAGTTGAAATAATTTTAAAAGTTTGGTATATTGAAAACAACTAGCACACGACAATATATATTTTGTTTTTGGCTGTCACATGGAAGAAGACTTAAATGAACATGTCAATTTTAAAGGGAGGGTTAAATATGTCAAATCTTATGGTGGGTATGTTAGAATTGCACACAAACCATAGTGATTACAGAGTTAGGCTAAACAAATCATGCAATTATTGGGCAACTAGTATTGTTTATAGCATAATTGAACACTAATTGTGCATGAGGTATTTTGGTCATTGTACCAATAAATTATGACTCTTTCTGTGAGCAAGAACAATAGAACATGGACTGCTAACCATTTAATTACTATTAAATTATTTAATTAGTCTTATTAGGTGTAAAATACTCTGTGTGTGTGTATATATATCTCAACAGAAATACTATATATGATTTCATTTTCTGCCAAGTGCCAACTAAGAGAGGAACTTCTAGCTCTCAGCTTGGTGTCTTTGGCTCAGCTTTAAGCCATGATCTCAACAGTGTATTTTTTAAATATATATATATATTTTGAATTTTTGCCAAGTCAAATTCAATAACTTGAATCTGAATCTGAATTTTTCTAATTTATATGAACTTTTGGCAAATTCTAAAATTACTTGTCCAAATAATGTAATACATGTGATGTTGTTTACAAACTAGCATGTTAAAAAATTATAAATTTAAGAACAAATTGCATTAAATTCCTCTTTACTTTTAATTTTTGGCACAAAACCCTTCTAAAGAAAAATACTGACATAAAACCCCCTAAGCATTTAATTTGTTGCAAAGTGATATTATAATGACCCAAATGCCCTTCAATATAAATTTTGATTTTTGATTTTTTTGATTATTCTCCTTTTTAAAATTTAAAAATAAAATAGAATATTTTATAAAATACACACTATTAAAGTTAAGTTATAATATGAAAATGCCCCTTAATGTAACTTTAAGAAAATTTAGGTTGTCTTAAAATATTTTAAAAATTTAAAAAATTGTTCCGAGGTATTTTCATTTTCTTATAGATGCACCATTTAAAAAAAAGTTTCAGAAAAATTTTAACACCACTATGTGGAATGAGTTATTTGTATTCATTTTAATTTCATATTAAGAGAAACCAATTTCTTAAATTTATATTAAGGGGCCTAAATTTAAAAACAAAGTTATCTCTGAGTCTTATTACATTAGAATTTTTTTTATTATTTTTTAATAATTATTAAGATTAGATTTACCAGACTAATTTATCTTCAAACTTGAAACCAGACTACTTTAATTTTACATACAATAACTAAATATATATACTATATTTATGTTCTCATATGGGATAAATGATGTAAATTTTAGCTTCCTCTTCACAAAGAAATGTGCTTAATATATATAAACCACTTGTTCAGTGCTCAAATATAACCTATATATTTCAATTTTTATCACATGCCAATGTCACACACACATATATATATATATATATATATATATATATATATGAGTCTTGATGCTCAAAAAAAATTTTATCCGCACATTTTATAGTAATCCTTATATTAAATATGTTTGTCATATTATAAACTCACTCATTTCGTTGCCAAATATTACAAAGTTACTCTCTTTATTTTAAATTTCCAAAATAAACACGTATTAACAATACCATCATTAAAATAAAAGGTAATTACCCAAAAAATAAAATAAAAATCAATGACTATTTTTAAACCTTTGATTCATATGCTAGGGCTCCATAGTTAATCATGGTTTGCTTCTTATTATTAGGGAGTATTTTGTAATTTTATTTTCTCTTTAATACTTGAGGTCTATTAATAAGGTTGCCTCCGTTATAGCACGAATTGGTATTGTAGATGTAGAATCTAACAAAATAAATTAATACGAGTAGGTTTCAGGACAAAAGTTTGAAAACAGTTATTATTATTTTTTGATAATTACTCCGAACCTTTTATTTTAAGGTTGGATGATATTTGTAATATTAATTTTAAAAATTAAAAATAGAGAGAATGTTGTTTTGCCATATTTGAACAAGAGATCCGAAATCTCAAACACACACACACATATATATATATATGATATGTGCATATGATAAAATCTGAAATATATACGTACGCTTTGATGTTCTCAAACGTCACATATTTATGTGTTCGGGTACGAAAGAAAAAAATTAAATGGAAGGAAAAGAAGAGGAGATGGGAAAGATTGTGAGCTTATAATTTCCTATGTTAGTTAGAAGGAAATATGAAGTTTTAATTATTTATACTATTATATCCATTAATATTTATAATATTAAAATTGATAGATGATAGTACTATATTTTAAAACTTGTATAATTTAGGATAATATTTAATTTAAAACTTTTGTAGTTCATTTTTGAATGGGTGAAAATTTGTAAAGTATTATTTTCATCTTTGGACGGATGAAAATTTGTAAAGTATTATTTCTCTTCTTCTTTCTTTTTTTGCACTATCTCTACCGAATAAAGAAAGTTAGTTCTTTCTTTTTATTTGCTTATTTTCTCTCCACACTTTTCTTACCACGAATACAGTATTAAAGAAAATTGAGCCCCAAAAGTTATTTATCAGTTTACCAGTAAGAAAATAAAAAATTGCGTCTAATTAATTAATTACAAAATAATACCACCACCAAAAATAAATAAAGAAGTAATAAAAAAAAATCTCAGCAATTCCATGAGCGAAGACAAGCCAAGCCAAAGCAGCCGTGAACTGTCGGTGGCCTGTGACTCTGATAGCTCACACTCACTTCCCCCATCTCTCTCTCTCTCTCTCTACTCTCTCTCTTTTTCTCTTCATCTTCTCCTGTCTTCCCTTCTATTCTACGGAACTTTCTCATCATACACATTGGAGATCTCCTCCAATCCACAGTCCTCTTCAAGGTCAGACAAACATCTCCTTCTCTCCCTCTCGCTCTCTCTCTCCACACTTTCTCTCTCTACATTAATTACGGTCCGCATTGTCCAAGATTGCTTTTTCTGCAGAATCTAGAGGTTTAAAGAACTTCCGAATTTTGCTAGATCTTCTCAATTTAGTTTGCAAATTCGTAAATTCTTCTCATTTCCGGAGATTTCTGTTTTTTTGACTGGTTTTTTCTATGATTTCTCTGATTCTAAGTTCGCATGCCACGGATTGGGTCTCCTTTTTAAGTGCAACTGTGCTCGTCTTCCTCGAGTTCAATTGAATTTGATGTTTTTTTGGTAAAAGGTTGAGTTTTGATGCAAAAAATGTGTTGATCTACTCTTTCGTTAGGCTAATTTTGTGGCATTCTGCTGAATCTGTTTGAAATTTGATTGGAGCTGATTAAGGCATCTAATTGCCATTGATTTGTTTTGCCTAGATTTACACATCTAACTGCCATTGATTGTGTTAAGGCAAGCTCTGGGTTGGTCTTCTTGTATTCTTATTCAGTTATGACTTGGATTCACGTAGTCTGTATAAATAAATCGGACAATAGCTGTTTTGAAGTGATTATAGTTCAATTGAGGTCGAGAATCTTGCAATTTTTGTAACTGGGACACGATATGCATATTTATTTTGTGTTCTTGTTTTGAAGAACGTGATTTGTGCAATTTTGTAATAGAATTCCTATCACTACATATTTGTCTAAATCTATTCCATTTTGTCTAAATCTATTCCATTGTGGATTGCTGGTGGCATTTTCGCAGGAGGCTTTAGCTTTGACTGTGTCTTGGAGGTAGATCTGAATATCTTGAATTACAACAGCAAAGCTGGCGGCGACACTAGCTTGGAAGTTTCCAGCCAGCAATGGCAGCAGCCTTGCTACTAACGATCTGGTACTGCTTAGCATATTTATTTATCTACTGAGACTTGAGTATGAGTGGGTAATTGGTGAATGCCCATTAAAAGCATTGAGTGTAGACCGTAGATATGCATTTTGATGTGGCCCTTCTGAATTCTGATTCCCCAATTGTGATTTTGTTTTCCTGTTATTTAGCTACATCTTGAATAGGCTCAGTCTACATCTCGGTCTGGATTTTAACACTTCTAATGCGTTTTCTGTTTAGTTTTTAAGTCCTGGGAAAGGAGATTGTTATTTGTCTCTTTATTTGGATGTTTGTGCTGTTAGACACCTCGTAAAGATGCATTGCAAAACCGGGCAATATTGTTTTATCACATTAATTTGTTGCAACTAAAAATCTGGAAATGTTTGTATGGTGCATGAAGGTAGGGCTGCAGGGGGCTGATCCACAAATTTTCACTTTTGGGGTGGGGGTACTAGTGTTATGATAGTAAAATTTTTAAAAATATAAACTGCTGTATATTTTTCTTCTGCCTTCAATATGCCATGTTTCTTCTATATTATCACTGGTACTAGTTAAGATAATCGTGGCATGTACATTTGAACTAGAAAAGTCATTTCTTTAATTGATTCAAATGCTAAATCGCAATGTTTTCAGGAATGGTGCAAAAACTATTCACCTATGCACTTCATTTTTAGTGCTCCACTGCAATTGTCCGATATATTACTTACTAAAGGGCCTGATCTGACTAAAAAAGAGAAAAACTTTAAATCCCCAAGGCATGACCAGATTATGGGCCTAACTAAAAGGTTTCAGCCAAGATTTTTAGCATGATAAAATAACTTACTACAGAATCATCTCATAAGAGGAAATGTGAGAAAGTGGATCTAATTTACTGGGATGTACATGCTGTGCAAGAATTGATCGGTTGATTCGTGGATGAATTTAGAAGAGATCGATTTGTGGTAGAATTCAAAAGAGGTTTATGATTTGAGCGGAATTCCTGTTTTGTATGGGGGAGAGAGAGAGAGAGATTTACTAGTTGGTACCAAAACAAATTTGTCTTGGAGAAGGTTTATCTTCTGTTAATTAGTGCTTTGCGCATCTTTGTGTCTTGTAGTTTGTGATTGTGGATTGGTTGAGATTTTTGACAACTTTTCACGTGGTGGAGACCATATTTCGTGCAAATTTTTTGGGTCCCTGAATGGTTCTAGCACTGCATGCACGTGTACATTTGCCTCATTATCTGAGTTAGATGTTTATGCAATGGAACATATCACATTCTTTACCATATAGTATCTCCTTTTCGAATTAAGACCTTACTGTAAAAGTGAAAGAATCACCTTAGATATTTGCTGCATTGTCTTCTTTTTTTTCAGTACTAACCAAAATTTGTCAGCTTCATCTAGGGAGTATATTGTGATAGACATATTTATCGTGAAAAAAAAAATAAAAATAAAATCAAAGCGGGTTTCCTGTTCCCAAATGCAACTTTATTTCTGACAACCTTTGACTTTGCAGCATCATTTATCATTTTCATGTCATTTTCCTCACACTTTTCTTTTCTCTATTTTGAACCGTTATTGTAGATTGTTTCTATATGTAACGACCATTTGCATCCATCCTTTTCCCCTTTAAATTAATTTTTTTTCCCTCCTAAGCAGGAAACGAATGGGGATGCTAGACCTCAAGATTCAGAGCCTCCTACTCCTCATTCACTCATAAAGATGAGTTCAAGGTCAGTTCATGTTTAGCATGCAAATGCAAAGCTTTGCCTAGGGGTTTTCTATTTTTTTGTCTCTGTTCTGTAATCTGAGCCACTTAATTATTGCTTTTTAAATGGAGACAACGTTAGTAATTTTCTTCCGCAAGCATGTATCATCTTTTAAGTTTTAAACTGTTTCCCGTTGCGGACATTGGCAAATATCCATGAAGGCCTCTCTTTGAAGAAAGTCATTTTTACATTGCCAGTTTTATATATGCCCGGGCTAAACCAATGATCTTAGGGCATGTGTTCCCAAAAGCCTTTGTTTCTATTTTGGGAATATGATTTGTGCTTCACTTTATACCTGTGTTACCTGGACTCGTCAGTGAAGGCCAGAGTGCCCGTGTCGACACGACACGACACGACACGACACGACACGGACACGGACACGGACACGGACACGGACACGGACACGGGATATGCGTCCGACCCTCCATTCTTCAATCGGACACGACTGACCAAGAAAATACATAAAATGATGTGTAGTTTGATGCTTGTGAAGGATCAGGAATTTTTTTCGTGTTTTTTTGTTAAATCTGTAGCCATACGAAGCTTTCTATTTCAACAATGGCGTTCTGGTTCGGATCGGTGGTCTGGAGGTTGAAGATGACTTGCTGTTTGTGAACCAGCACGCGCTGGCTTTTGTGCAATTTTTTGTGCCATCTTGTGCGTGGTTTCACGCAATTGTTAATAACTTAACACCTGTTTATTTGGATCTGAAAAGATAAGGGATGGGACATAGCTGTAAAGCATTATTGTGGTGGGTTACAGCTGTAACTTTGCTTTTTACAGTACTCTTATAAATACCGTGTACATTGAATGGGCTTCCTTTTTAATTGTGCTTTGGACTTGTGCAGGCCCAAAACCCAAGCATCAATCCATGACTAAAATGCACATACAAAGACATATTATCCCATATTGAATTAGTCATCCTTTTTAATTGTGCTTTGACTTGTACAGGCCCAGATGCACATACAGAGGCATATTAGCCCAAGCCCAAACCCGCCCTTGGGTATACAAAAGAAGCCCTACAGCTCAGAATTTCTTATTTAAAGGTTCCATAAAACAGCAGTAACAGGGGAATGCATAGCCATGACATGCCACGAATCAAATGAGGCAAACAAATGCAGTAATATTTATAAAATTTTTATAAAAAAGTACAATTGATATATATATATATTTTTTGTTTTATGATTAATGTCTCAAACATAAAAAAAAAACTTACAAATTTTTCTCTCTTTTCAAAGTGTCCAAGTACCCGTGTCCAATATTTGGACACTTTTAATCTGTGTTCCCGTATCCTGAAAATTGATAGATTGACGAATCCGACCCCTAGACACGCACCCATGTCCGACACCCGTACCCGAGTCCGGGTAACATAGCTTTATACTATTGCGCTCCACTTGTTTTTTAAATCGAGGAAATGACACAATAACTGTTTGAAGCGGAGTGTAAGAGTACTTTTTGGGATAATTGTGGAGTTTGAGAGTACTTTTGAAGGACAATTATGCTAAATCCTTTTTAAGAAAAACAAATAGACTGCAAGGGTACAAAAGTGGATTGCGAATATTGTTTCCTTTTTCTTTCTTCTTCTTTATTTTCTCCACAGTATGAGCTAAATACCTGCCATTGCTGGTTTCATTTTGCTCAGTGACGTTTTCTAGTTGAATATCTCATCCAGAAAAAATCACATTTATTATATTTTAATTATTCATATGTTCTACCATGACTGGTGATATAAAATGATTGTTTAAAAAATTCAATTTTACTAGTAAAAGCTTATCCCAATTAGTTGGTTTGTTCTAAAACTTTTCTCTTGTCCATGTTTGCTCTATTTGGGGCAATTTTCCCCCTCTTAAGCCAGTGACTGTCTTGTATTTGTCATTATCATTTTTTTTTTTGATAAATATTTTTCATTATCATAACCCACATCTTCTTTTATACTCCTTGTGCTCGCTGCAGTGCCTTCAATTGAACCTCACTGTCAGCTGCATTATTATTGGGCTTAACTTTTCCAGTGTTACTGTAATTAGATATTTATTAAATAAATTGCTTAGTTTTTGATTCATGTCGGCTTTTCTTGCTCAAATCAATTTGATGATATTGCAACATTTAGTATAGATGATGTGTACGGCTCAAGTTTCTCACACTCATATGGTCTGCAGAGATCGTAGTAGCATGGAGGACCCTGATGGGACATTGGCAAGTGTTGCCCAATGTATTGAACAGTTGCGGCAGAATTCCTTATCTGTACAAGAAAAAGAGTTTTGCTTGAAGAAGTTGTTGGAGCTTATTGATACGCGTGAAAATGCTTTCAGTGCTGTTGGATCTCATTCTCAGGCAGTTCCAGTACTTGTGTCACTTCTGCGGTCAGGGTCACTTGGGGTGAAGATGCAGGCGGCTACTGTTTTAGGCTCCTTATGCAAGGAGAATGAACTGCGATTGAAAGTATTATTAGGGGGTTGCATTCCGCCGCTGCTTGGTCTCCTTAGGTCCAATTCAGCAGAAGGTCAAATTGCAGCTGCCAAGACTATTTATGCTGTTTCTCAAGATGGTGCGAGCGATCATGTTGGATCAAAAATTTTTTCAACTGAAGGAGTCGTGCCAGTGCTTTGGGAGCAACTAAAAAAGGGGCTGAAGGCTGGAAACTTGGTTGATAACTTGCTGACAGGAGCTTTAAAAAATCTTTCCAGCAGCACCGAGGGATTTTGGTCTGCAACAATACAAGCTGGTGGGGTTGATATACTTGTGAAATTGCTTACAACTGGACAGTCGGGCACTCAAGCTAATGTATGCTTTCTCCTGGCATGTATGATGATGGAGGATGCATCTGTTTGTTCTAAGGTGTTGGCTGCAGAGGCTACAAAACAACTTCTTAAGCTATTAGGACCTGGTAATGATGCACCTGTGAGAGCAGAAGCTGCAGCTGCTCTCAAATCGCTGTCTGCCCAGAGCAAAGAAGCAAGGCGGGAGATAGCTAATTGTAATGGTATACCTTCTTTGATAAATGCAACAATAGCTCCTTCAAAGGAATTCATGCAAGGTGAATACGCCCAAGCGTTGCAGGAGAATGCAATGTGTGCCCTTGCAAACATTTCTGGTGGTCTGTCGTATGTCATTTCAAGCCTTGGACAAAGCCTTCAATCATGCAATTCACCTGCACAGATTGCTGATACATTAGGGGCTTTAGCTTCGGCTCTTATGATATATGAAAGCAAGGCAGAAGCTACTAGAGCATCAGATCCTCTGGAAATTGAACAGACGTTGGTTAAGCAGTTAAAGCCTCGGTTACCATTTCTTGTGCAGGAGCGGACCATAGAAGCCTTGGCCAGTTTGTATGGAAATACCATACTCTCAAATAAACTTGCAAACTCTGATGCAAAACGCCTTCTGGTTGGTTTGATCACAATGGCAACCAATGAAGTTCAAGATGAGCTGATAAGATCCCTTCTCATGCTTTGCAACAATGAAGGCAGTCTGTGGCGTGCACTTCAAGGTCGTGAGGGGATTCAGCTATTGATTTCTCTTCTTGGACTTTCATCAGAACAACAACAAGAATGTGCTGTTGCATTACTCTGCCTTCTATCTAATGAGAATGATGAAAGCAAATGGGCTATCACAGCTGCTGGCGGCATACCTCCACTTGTCCAAATTCTAGAGACTGGGTCTGCGAAAGCGAAGGAAGATTCTGCAACAATTCTGGGGAATCTTTGTAATCACAGTGAGGATATACGGGCATGTGTTGAAAGTGCTGATGCCGTTCCTGCTTTGTTATGGCTACTAAAGAATGGAAGCTCAAATGGAAAAGAAATTGCAGCGAAGACATTGAACCATTTGATTCACAAATCAGACACAGCAACTATTAGCCAGCTCACTGCATTATTAACCAGTGATTTACCTGAATCTAAGGTTTATGTTTTGGATGCATTAAAAAGTATGCTTTCGGTAGTCCCCCTAAGTGATATGTTGCGGGAGGGAAGTGCTGCAAATGATGCAATTGAGACAATGATAAAAATTTTAAGCTCTGCAAAAGAAGAGACTCAGGCCAAGTCTGCATCTTCTCTTGCTGCAATCTTTAATGTCAGAAAGGACTTGCGGCAAAGTAGCATTGCTGTTAAGACGCTTTTGTCAGCCATGAAGCTACTAAATGTCGAATCTGGAAACATCTTAGTAGAGTCCTCTCGTTGTCTTGCTGCGATATTTCTTTCGATCAAAGAGAATCGGGATGTGGCTGCTGTTGCTAGAGAGGCATCAACTTCACTAATGGTGCTTGCTAACTCTTCAGTTCTGCAAGTTGCAGAGCAGGCGACATGCGCTTTGGCAAATCTTCTTTTGGACAGTGAAGTTTCAGAGAAAGCTATTCTTGAAGAAATTATTCTGCCTGCTACTAGGGTTTTGCGAGAAGGCACAGTTGCTGGAAAGACCCTTGCAGCAGCAGCAATTGCTCGGTTACTCCATTCTCGCAGAACTGATTCAGCCTTAACCGAATGCGTTAATCGTGCAGGAACAGTTCTTGCATTGGTTTCGTTCTTGGAGTCCGTTGATAGTGGGTCTACTGAGACATCAGAAGCACTAGATGCACTTGCCTTTTTGTCGAGGTCAGAAGGAGCTACTGGGCACATCAAACCTGCATGGGCAGTTCTTGCTGAATTTCCAAATAGCATAACCCCAATAGTGTCATGTATTGCTGATGCAACACCCTTGTTGCAGGATAAAGCTATAGAAATATTGTCGCGGCTTTGCAGGTCTCAGCCTGTTGTTCTAGGAAGTACAATTGCTTGTTCACCAGGATGTATTTCATCAATTGCGGGAAGGGTGATGAGTTCCTCAGATGCAAGGGTCAAAATAGGGGGAAGTGCACTTCTTATATGTGCTGCGAAAGTAAATCACCAGAGACTGGTGGAAGATTTGAATCAATCAAATGCACGTGCCCATCTCATTCAGTCTCTTGTTGGCATGCTTAATTCCATGGGTTCAACTCACTTTGGAGACCAGGGAGACAAGGAGACCATAAGCATTTACAGGCTTACCAAAGAAGAAGCAAGTAATGGCGAAAATGCGACAAGTACAGCAGTAATCTGTGGCGCCGACATAGCAGTGTGGCTACTTTCTGTCCTTGCTAGTCATGATGACAAGAGTAGAATTGTGATTATGGAGGCTGGAGCAATTGAAGTACTCACTGAGAGAATCTCCCGATGCTTGTCGCAGTACACTCAGGTATTCAACTTGTTTCAGATATTCTATTAAATGCAATATGTATATTATATTCATGATGTGTCCAGTAATTATCTTGTTCACATTTTAGATCCTCTATGCCAGTATATAATCTGATTCTGCATTTGTGCTTTTATTATCATTGAAACCTTTGTTTGCTGCTTCATGGCAATTCATGCAGATTGATTTTAAAGAAGACAGTAGCATATGGATTTGTGCCTTACTGCTAGCAATTTTGTTTCAAGACAGAGATATCATACGAGCACATGCAACCATGAAATCTATACCAGTACTTGCAAATTTATTGAAGTCAGAGGAGTCAGCAAACAGGTATTTTGCTGCACAAGCTGTGGCCAGTCTCGTCTGTAATGGGAGCAGAGGGACTCTTCTGTCTGTTGCAAATTCTGGTTCAGCAGGTGGGCTTATTTCCTTACTTGGGTGTGCTGATGTTGACATCTTTGATCTTCTGGAGATGTCAGAGGAATTTGGTTTGGTGCGGTATCCAGAACAAGTTGCTCTTGAGAGGTTGTTTAGGGTTGATGACATTAGGGTTGGAGCTACTTCTCGGAAAGCTATACCTGCCCTTGTTGATCTACTTAAACCAATTCCAGATCGTCCGGGGGCACCTTTTCTAGCACTTGGGATTCTGACTCAGCTTGCAAGAGACTGTCCCTCAAATAAGATTGTCATGGTTGAATCGGGGGCCTTGGAAGCTCTGACTAAATATCTTTCTCTTGGCCCACAAGATGCAACCGAGGAAGCTGCTACGGATTTATTGGGGATGCTATTTAGCAGTGCTGAAATACGGAGACATGAATCTGCATTTGGAGCTGTTGGGCAACTTGTTGCAGTCTTGCGTTTAGGCGGAAGAGGTGCAAGGTATAGTGCTGCAAAAGCATTGGAAAACCTATTTTCTGCCGACCATATTAGAAATGCAGAAACTGCCAGGCAAGCTGTTCAACCTTTGGTGGAGATTCTAAATACTGGTTTGGAGAAGGAGCAACATGCTGCTATTGCTGCATTGGTTAGGTTATTAAGCGAAAACCCCTCAAGGGCCCTAGCTGTTGCAGATGTTGAGATAAATGCTGTAGATGTGCTTTGCAGGATTCTGTTGTCAAATTGTTCAATGGAACTGAAGGGGGATGCTGCTGAGTTGTGTTGTGTTCTTTTTGGAAATACACGAATTAGGTCTACCATGGCTGCAGCTCGTTGTGTCGAGCCTCTGGTCTCTCTTCTTGTAACTGAGTTCAGTCCTGCGCAGAATTCAGTTGTTCGCGCACTAGATAAACTCTTGGATGATGAGCAATTGGCAGAACTAGTTGCTGCGCATGGTGCAGTTATTCCTCTAGTTGGCCTTCTCTATGGTAAAAATTACATGCTTCATGAGGCTACTTCCAGAGCTCTTGTGAAGTTAGGAAAAGACAGGCCATCATGTAAGATGGAAATGGTGAAAGCTGGAGTAATTGAGAGCATGCTCGATATTCTTCATGAAGCACCAGATTTTCTTTGTGCTGCTTTTGCAGAATTGCTTCGAATATTGACCAATAATGCTACCATTGCTAAGGGTCCATCTGCAGCAAAAGTAGTTGAGCCCCTTTTCCTGTTGCTATCTAGGGCAGAGTTTGGACCTGATGGCCAACATAGTGCTTTACAGGTTCTTGTTAATATTTTAGAGCATTCACAGTGTCGCGCTGACTATAATTTGACATCTCACCAAGCTATCGAACCACTTATCCCTTTACTAGATTCTCCAGCTCCAGCAGTGCAACAGTTGGCAGCTGAGCTTCTCTCACACCTACTTCTTGAAGAAAATCTTCAGAAGGATCCAGTGACACAACAAGTGATTGGTCCCCTGATACGGGCTCTTGGTTCTGGTATACATATTTTGCAGCAGAGAGCTGTAAAGGCACTTGTTAGTATTGCACTAACCTGGCCAAATGAAATTGCAAAGGAAGGTGGTGTCGGTGAGCTGTCCAAAGTTATATTGCAAGCCGATCCTTCACTTCCTCATGCATTGTGGGAATCTGCTGCTTCTGTTTTATCCAGTATTCTGCAATTTAGTTCTGAATTCTATTTGGAAGTTCCTGTTGCAGTGTTGGTGAGATTGCTCCGTTCTGGTTCAGAAGGCACAGTAATTGGTGCATTGAATGCTCTTCTAGTGTTGGAAAGTGATGATGGTACCAGCGGTGAAGCAATGGCAGAAAGTGGTGCCATTGAGGCTCTTTTGGAACTTCTCAGATGTCATCAGTGTGAGGAAACTGCTGCAAGACTGCTGGAGGTGTTGTTGAACAATGTGAAGATCAGGGAGTCAAAAGTTATCAAGTCTGCAATCTTACCGTTATCCCAGTACCTCTTGGATCCACAAACCCAAGCTCAACAGGCAAGGTTACTGGCAACTCTTGCTCTTGGCGATCTATTTCAAAATGAAACTCTTGCTCGAAGTACAGATGCTGTTTCAGCTTGTCGGGCTCTAGTGAATCTGCTTGAAGACCAACCCACAGAAGAAATGAAAGTGGTAGCTATATGTGCCTTGCAAAACCTGGTAATGTATAGCCGATCAAATAAAAGAGCAGTTGCAGAAGCTGGTGGTGTTCAGGTTGTATTGGATCTGATTGGTTCAAGTGATCCAGATACATCAGTTCAGGCTGCAATGTTTATTAAGCTTCTCTTCTCTAACAATACCATTCAAGAATATGCTTCCAGTGAAACAGTCAGAGCTATAACTGGTAACTCTTCTTCTTCTTATTATTTTTTTTGTTCTCTCTTTAGCCATGTTCACTTAGCTCTGATTATATACCTGTTGGTGATTGTTGTAGAAACCAATAACAATAGATTCAACTTATTGTTCTCTTGATCCTTAACTCCTTCTCCCTCAATGCTACATTGACTTGCACTAAGAACTTTCTGTTCTTTACATTCCTTCATTGTCATCCTTTTCAGTTATTCCCCCTCCCCACCTTCTTAAATCTGAGTTCCATTGGCTACTTGATCCCTCTTTTGTCAATCCTTACTATTCTAAGCTATATTCTCTCTATTGGTGTATACATCTTGAATCCTTTTCACTTCAATATGTTGTCCTATCAGTCCTGAATACCTGTATCGACCCACCTATTTTCTCTCCCTTAAAGTCCTTTGTGGATTTCAAGTCAGGAATAGAGCTGTGGCTTATTTGGTGTTATACCACAATTCATAATACTGTATTTAAAGAGTGTGACATCCCCAAATTCTTATCCACTTGAGCCAACCCCTTGGGGTTAATTGGTGTCATTCCTGGAAGGAGTTATATGTACAAACTTATGTGTTTATATGAATTTTTACTTTTCTTATCATTATTTTTCTAAGAAGGAATTTATATCATCAGTCAAGCTGATTGCAGTGCAGTGCATATGATAGAGCTTCAACATTATGCACATTGACACGAAAGAAAAATGTATACGACTGTTTAAATGTTTGCATTGCTTTTTAACATTGATTTGGTCTACAGTTTCATGTATGAGGCTTGTTGTTTGGGTGGCTTTTCCATATGTGCATATACATTATAAGTTTTAATCAGTTATTTGGTCATGCAGCTGCAATTGAAAAGGATTTATGGGCCAACGGAACAGTAAACGAAGAGTATCTGAAAGCTCTGAATGCACTCTTTAGCAACTTCCCACGCCTGAGAGCCACTGAGCCTGCAACACTTAGTATTCCCCATCTGGTCACATCCCTCAAGACTGGCTCAGAGGCAAGTCAAGAAGCTGCTCTGGACTCGTTGTTTCTTCTCAGGCAAGCTTGGACAGCATGCCCAGCTGAAGTCTCCAGAGCACAGTCAGTTGCCGCTGCAGATGCAATTCCTTTGTTGCAATATTTGATCCAGTCAGGCCCACCACGGTTTCAGGAAAAGGCAGAATTTTTGTTGCAGTGTTTGCCAGGGACATTAGTGGTAATAATTAAACGTGGAAACAATATGAAGCAGTCTGTTGGAAACCCAAGTGTTTACTGCAAGCTTACTCTTGGCAACACTCCTCCGAGGCAAACTAAGGTATACTTTGGTACTTTTATGAAATCCATGTTCTTTTTCCAGTTATTGTTAGCTCAAATTTTAGAACTTCCCCCTTTAAGAGAAATGGATATACAATTTGGAAAGTTTACTATAAAAGACGCTCAATCTCCATAATTTTACGCTTTATATCATTACTATGCATTTAACTGGGTTTTTTTTTTTTCCTTCTATTTTTTATTTTTTATTTTTTTTGTTTCTGAACATGGTAAACTAGCTTTTTGACTATTTCACTGTAACGTGATCTGTTGTTTTACCTTGTTATCACCTGTGCATCATCTTGACTAGATGATAATTGTGATCTTCTCTCATTTGCTTAATATATTGTGGATTATTTCATGAATATATGGTGACTAAGAAGCATGGACACTTCTAGATGGAGCCATGTCCACGTGAGACATGTATTAGAGATCAACACTTGTCGGATATTCCTGGAAAAACGTTCACTTTCTGAATGTGGCCATATTTTAGCAGTAAAATTCCTAAGTTTGAACATGTGACTTCCACTTCTTAAACATGTGATAGCACATGACCTATTAACCTTGCATAAGGTTTTCATTTAGCATGGAAAAATATAATTCTAAGAAAAGTCGAATTAAGGTTTATATGAAATTCATACAACATTTGATTATGTTTTAAAAGTAAGAAGAAAAATTAATTGAAAGAATGCACAGGGGAGTAGGAGAGAAGTCATCAAATTATGTTTTGTATGCGTACATATGCATTTCTACATACGTACACAAACACTCACATAAATATGTACCATGTTCCTTCTTTTCTTTCTCTATGTGATAGGGTGATTGTGTTATGATGTATAAGTTATAATTTTATCTAACAATAATAGAATATTTTCTTGTATTTAGCATAGTTTTTATATATAAAAAAATATATATTTTATTGGTGTGTCACCGTTGTGTTCTTGTCCTACTTTTTCAAGATTTTTGGTGTCAAGGTGTCTGTGTTGTGTCATATCTTTATTCTGTTCGTATCCATGCTTTTTAGATGGTGCCTGTACAAAAGGATGTGATATATTGTATAGCTACAATTCAATTAGGGAAATTTTCCCAGTGTTGTTTTTGTTTAGTCAGCTGTCAAACGTTTAGTTATGCTCCCACTATCAAATGTTTGTGTAACATTCTGGTATATTTTGTTTATTCCTATGTAATATTTGTATCCTTGCACTGGTACTTACTTTTGTTTGGTCAGCAGCTGTACATAATCATCATTGTCGTTGTTTAGGTGTAACGGTATTGTTCCTGGAACTCGAGTCTCCTAACTTTAGAATGTATTTAATGTCAAAATGCTCTGTGGTAATAATGGCTGTGCCCAACTTAATTCTCAACTAATTTTCGCATAAAATTCCTGTGTTGTCGTGTTTAATTTATTTATTTTTAAATAAAAAACAACTAATTAAAACTATTAAAGGGAAGCTTACAAAGATCAAAATGTTGTGATTTTGAATGTTGTGATTTTGATTGTTACTTATCAACCAAAAAAAAAAAAAAAAAAAAAAAATGTCACTAATTGCCTGTTGAGATTTGATTTTTTTTTTTTTTTTTTTTTTTTTTTTTTGTCTTTAATAGTTACCTGTCAAAAAGAAATTTCTTGTCTTTAATTTTGTTTAGATTTGAATGATTGTAACGGAAGCCAATCAAAGAGAACTTTCCTAAAATACTTGGACGAAAACCACCTAACCCTAACTTCATAAGAAAGGAACTTTGAGCACGGTTTCTCGACTTCCTCGAAATAAACCTATTATAAATACCAAGTTCGAACAATTTTAAGAATGGATTCTAGTGGCTACTGTTTTACTACACATTGTAATGACATTTTTTATTTTGAATGTGTTTTATTCTTCTCTTTATCTATTATAAGAATTATTTTATAGATATATTTTGTGTTTTTCTCCTTATTTTTTACCATCTTATGATCCTCGATCTGATGTACTATGAACACCAATCAATTTTGCACAGGATCCTGATCCTAAGAAACACGAATGATATCTTGTGATTAAGTTGTGTGAAAGTAATGGGTGGGTTGGGGGTAAGAGAAGTGGTTGCATAGGATATGTGTCTCAAATAAACCATCGTTTATCATTTAGTGATCTCTAGACTTTAAAGATGATTTTGAGGGTCTGGTAACAAATTAATTATAATTTATACTCCTGTGGTTATAATAGAGGTGGCACGATGTTCTGATTTACCAACTGAAGGGCGATCTCTGAAAAGCCGTTCGGTGATTTCAGATTCAACAGTCAAAGCTGGTCATAATGTGACAATATTGAGGTTATTGATTAGAAGAACATTTCATTTAACATGTTATGTTTAGCTTAATGAATTGACGAGAATTGAATTGAGGACCCCAATTTTCCCTTTAAATTGATTACATGCAGGCACTTTTACCACTATTCTGCTATTACTTTGACTCGTTAAGTCCTCCTTTTTGCCATTTAACTCTTTTCAAGAAATTAGTAGTTTCCTTCATTTTCTCAAAAAAATTCTCTTCCGATTTTTATAGTTCTTTTGTATGTTTTTTTCCTGAATTTCTTTTTGTATGTTTCTCTGTAAATATGTAGGCATTCATGTTTTGCAGTCAAATAAACACACCTTATCCCAACTAAGCTTTCCAGCGTCTCCTTGCTGCCTTAACCCTAGTCTCACAAGTGCTTTTTGTTGGTGCATGACTCAGGTTGTATCGACTGGTCCTAATCCGGAGTGGGAAGAGAGCTTTTCATGGTCATTTGAAAGTCCTCCGAAAGGCCAAAAGCTTCATATCTCATGCAAAAATAAGAGCAAAATGGGGAAGGTAATGACCCAAGAAATGGATGGGAGGGAGAATTAGACGAAATTCCTTTACCAACTGTTTTAGGTTTTTCTTTGATTCTCACTTAACCAAGTTTCTTTTAATCTAATGGCAGAGCTCATTTGGAAAAGTCACAATCCAGATCGACCGTGTTGTGATGCTGGGTGCAGTTGCTGGGGAGTACACTTTGTTGCCGGCAAGCAAAAGTGGTCCTCCACGGAATCTGGAGATAGAATTCCAGTGGTCTAACAAATAACGACCATACCGAGGGGTTCTTGTAAGAGCTGCAAATTAAAATTTAGGAACATGGTAAAAGACCGGATTTTTTTTTTTGAGTTTATTTATATGTTGATGTACATATTCTGCTGGAGATATTTTTTTCTTCTTCTTTTGGCGTCCTTAGGCCTTGAAACAGTCATTTGTTAAAGGTATTCTTTTGTAATCTGTTTTTGCTTCCATTCATTGGGAATGCTATGGGCTGAAAAAGTTTAGCTTCCTCTTTTCATTTTTAATTTTTGTATTGATATTTGAGTGCTTGTCAACTTAAAGAGGAAAATAACAAAGGTTTCTGTTTTGATCATCTTTTGGTGTAATTACTTATTTTGTGATTGATTACAAAATTCATTGGAATTGTTTGAAGTTACCTTCTACTTACTAAAATTTTTATTTCTCCTTTATTTTTTATTTTGGATTACATTAAGTGAAACTTCACCGAAAAAGAATTTCCGAATTAACATCGAATTTAATATGATTGGTCATTCTTATCACGTGTTAAATAATTATTTTTGGGAAATTGTTTAAGTAGAAGAGGTGGACAAATACACTCTAGATTTGGTGCTTATTCGCGATTAATTATTCGGTCTCCCTATCATACTCTCTATTTTAGACACAAAATGGAGAGTTTCACCAAAATGGGAAGTCGAAAGCCAAGGAGTTGATAATAGAGGAACAAGTGGAGTAAGTTATTAGATTGTCCGGATCAATTATCATTGAACAAACAATCAAACAATTGTGTCAAAAGTGAGTAAAATTTATTTAATTTTTTGCTGATGCGTCCAATAGTTATTCGTCGTGTTTAATGGTCCCGGACCATTTAAAACTCAATAAGCATGGGAATACGATAACTCGATAAATGGTCATGGGAAACAGATAACTTAGATCACGGACTTCTCACGTGGGAGAAACATGGGTCAGATAATATAGTTGATGAGACACGTGGAATAATCGGGTTGGAAGGTCGTGCAATAGTTTAGTTTATAGCCGGTTATAATTTTCTGTATAAAATGCAGTTTACTTAAATTAGTCACGACACATTCATTTTTATTTTTTATTTTTTTGTTGGAATAGTAAAATATATTATTTTTCAAGTTTTTTGTAGAAAGACTAAAAATTGTCATGCAAAAGTAATATGCTTAATTTACCCGTCACCCATTTTAATATTTTGTGACTCCAAAGGCGTTAAATTCTATCCAATTTCAAAAGCTATATAGATTGTAAAAAAGATATTATAGTCCTGCTTACATATATACTTGAGATATCGGAGAAAATTATATATGAGTATGAGTATTTGAATTTGTGATTAACTCACGTGAAGTATGTGTAACTTGTGATCAACACTTGCAGAGGCGGCTAGGGGTCTTTTAATATCTTAAAATTCATCCTTGTAATTTTTTGATATACAAAATTACTAATTAAATTCTTATATTTAACTTTGTTTAAAATTTTTTTTAATAGATAATATCTTTCTTAAGACACAGTTGATCACTTGATCGTAGATATGATTTTATTAACTCTAATTTAGAAAAAACTCGAGTAAGCCATACATGAATTAGAAAAAGAATATAGTTTTTCATATCCGGATTCTTATTTTCTGGTAGACATATTCAACAATATAAGTAAAAATAATTACAACTCACAAACAAAATATACAAGCTAGTATATAAAAATATCTATATTTACACAATTTTATAATAACATAAGTTAATAAAACTAAAAAATAATTAAAGAAAAAGAATAATATAACCCGATTTAGAAAATCCCAATCCTATGGTCTTACAATTTCTTCAATAGAATAGAAGTGTGTTCAAATTGGGAGTAAAAGGTATCGAGGGGAGAAGAAAGAGAACTCTAAATCTTTAATGAGAGAAGGAAGACAATTTGTTGAGAGAGAGGAGAGAAAGTACAATGAGGAGCTAAAAAAAAAACAGAAGTTAGAAAAAGAATATGGAAAGTTTCATCACTTCTCCAAACAACCGTGTTAAAAATATATTTAATATTTACTGTAGGTACAATTTCCTGGGAAAAAAATAGTGCTAGTGTAAAAAACATGAATGAGTGAGAAAGAAAGAGAAAAAAATAAAATAAAAGGTTATTTAAGAATATATATCTTTGGGCCACTATTAAATTTCTGTATTGGTTAAGGATTAATAGAAAACAGTAATCTTTGGGGCTAATTAGATTTCTGTATTGGCTAAAAAACGTGAATGAGGAGGAGAAAGAAAAGGGAGAAAAAAAGAGAAGAAGAAGATAATTTATGATATAATTATTTGCGGGTCAATATTAATTTTTTTTTATTTGGTTAGTGTTTAATAATTTTAGGAAATAATTATGACCTAACTTAGATAAGGAAAATTTAGAAATTTTGAGGTCTTCCTATTGGTTAGGGCCTTAGGGGTCGCCTAAGAGCATCTTCAACCATGTATAAATATATTTTTTTTGTGTAAATCTGATGTGTCATAATAGATTTAGACAAAAATTTTAGATTATTTATTTTTAGCTCCAGTGGTGTTTTATACCTTTTGTGTAAAAATATATCTCCAATAACAATTAACCAGTGTCATGTCTGGATCCTACATAATTTTAACAAACCTGCTTAATATAGGGTTGATTAGTTAATGAAATAAGAAAGAAGGAGGAGAAAGGAAATATGATGATGTGGCTGTGTAAAAAGTTGTGTAAAATACACAACAATTTTACACATTGGTGACGTGGCAGTGTATCTTAATAGACTGCTGGAGATAAAAAAAAAATTTACACATCATATGTGGCAGTATATATTTTACATTATGTGGCAATATATATTTTATATAAAAGAGTGTTTTAACATACTATTGGAGATAAAAAAAAAAAATTACACATCATATGTGGCAGTGTATATTTTACATAAAAGAGTATTTTAACATACTGTTGGAGATGCTCTAAGTCCCCCTAAGGCTCCAGCCGGCCTAAATTCACTTGAAGTTTGTGGAAAGAAGAGCGAACAAACAACTGACGACTAACATATAAAAGGATAGTTTTTTGCGAGAAAGTAAAATTTCGCATATATTGTGGAGAAATCCATGACACGTGAGAATACTATTTTCTTCAAAATCCATCTAAGCAAACTCTAAAAAAAGTTTTAAAATTTTTCATTTCTAGCTACTTCACGCTCACCACACGAAACTAAGGGAACGTAAAGCCATGAGGCTGCATTTGCTTTGACGTAAATTTTTCCTCAAAATTTTCACTTTCCATCTATAACACCTAATTTCCATTTATAAGTTGGCCAAACTTATATATAAAAATCAAGAAATATCAACACATGGTAATAAACAAGCGCATAGTATAATAATCATTAATGAACGAAGTAAAGACAGAAGGAAATGCTAAATTAAAAGAAACTTCAAATCCATAATCTCATTTATTACAACTTGGTGATCCCATAAACCGGGGATCCATAAATCTAAATCCAAAACCTACACTGAAATAAATTTGGAGTAGAGTAGATGATCACGATCAAACTACGATGAGCTGAGTGTTCAACCCTGTGGCTAAAACTGCCTGGGACCTGAAATGTCAACAAAAGATAGGTTAATCCCACAAGCAAGTCTCATCTACTACACCCCAACAGAGAACCCATAAACCCATCATCTCTAATGAAATCAACACAAATACCAAGTGGAACCCTAATTCATTACACCTTGGTAATGATAAATATACAATACCATATCCAAGACATAAACCCCAACTAATAAGGAGTAATCTACCACGTACCACATTATCCCCAAATAATCACATCATATGCATAATTATGAAGTTGACAATTATATACATAAGAAAAATAGGCAACTCAACCATGCCTACAATCAAACCACGTACCTGAAATTCAACTATGCCTTGACAAATTAACCATACCAATAAGTATTAGTGAGACTGCGTTTATAGTCAGCCCATGGAGGTTCCACAACACAACCTATACCCATAAACATAAGCAAGTACCTTTTCATGTAAAACATGATAATTCTCAATTATAACACATATGATATGAAATTGGTTAAGCCATTCCCATTAATAAATTCGGTGTAACACTAAGGTTCAAGCAACTAAGTTAACGTCGAGCTTGGGGTCTAGGGGGGCACCCCCCGACAGGGTTTGGGGCAGCACCCTAAGAACTAGATTTTACCAATAACTGTTATGTCAAAATCTAACATTTTGAGAATTTAATTGAGTTATAGCATACCAAAACTATTTTCTAATTACAGTGATCGTTTTATGTAACAAGGGTTTAATCATTAAAGCATAACAATTACAGAAAGAAACTAGAAAACCAGAATACTTAATCAAAATTGGAAAATCCCTTATCAATTATGCATACCAGGTTAAACTATACAAAGTAGAATTTGTTGGAAAATATATGCTTCAAATGATATTTAAGATATAACTAACCTTATACTATTATTCAATGAGATAATTAATAATATGTATCGTTCGAAACTAGTTATGAAAACTGATGTTTCAAGTGTGAATGAAACTTGTCTGCAACTAATTTATAGTTGGGTGCTTATGTGTACAACGTGAATATATTAGTGTAAAGGTTCCATGCAAAGTCCAAAATTCATGTTATTTGACATAACCTCTACCAATTCTATACCATATTCTTAATGTTTAATGTGGTTGAGGATGAGTTAGAAACGGTTAGTAAATTGTAAGGATGCATTGGATTACATTACATGCGTGAATGTGTATGTTGGTTGAAAAGGTACAATCGAACAGACATAACCTATTGGAGTGGATGTGTCTAGTGGTGAACAAATACCATGTGAACCATTGTAACAAATTGGAGTGGTTATGTCCGGTGATGAAGAGATACATATAAATGGTTGTGTCTAGTAATGATAAGACACATATAAATGGTTATGTCCAATTAGGAGTGGCAATTTTTACCGCCCCGCCGGGCCCCCGCCCCGTTAATAACGGATATGGGAACAACTTTTATACCGTTGGGGCGGGCATGGATACAAATTTTATACCCGTCACGGGTAAGGGTTCTTATACATATCTGCCGGGGCCAGCCCCGCTAAACATATAACTATATTTAATATATATATATATATATATATATATATATATATATATATATATATATATATCGATATAGATATTAATAACTTATTTCACTGGCTTACCCAGTTACCCATTTCTTACAACCCTAATTTATTAAACCTTATATGTGAACTGAGCGGCGCATCAAGGGAAGACAGAGAGAGTCAAAACTCAAAAACCAAACTCTCGACCTTAATCCCTCTCTCCCTCATCGGTCTC